CTTGAGTAGGAAGGCAGTGAGCATGGGCAGTCTTGCATTCATTCCTGTTGGTGAGAGACCTCTTGCAGTTAACATTCAGGCTTTGGCCAACCAGTTCGTGAGATGGGATATTTTAGAGCCCAATCGGGTTCTAGCTTATGGGATTTCGCGGTCTTCCTTATTTCATCGCATCAGAGAGTGCCATTATGATGATCTTCATTTGCTTGTCCTCAAGGATAGAGTTAGCCATGATGATGCCAGAGATGTGACTACTAGAGATGATAGGGTGTTGAGGATGCAGGACCGGATATATGTGCCCAATGTAGATGGGCTACGGGAGTTGATTCTTGAGGAGGCCCACAGCTCATAGTACTCCATCGATCTAGGTGCCGCGAAGATGTACCAGGATTTGAGACTGCACTATTGGTGGAGGAGAATGAAAAAAGACATAGTTGGGTTTGTAGCTCGGGTCTCAACTGTCAGCGGGTGAAATATGAGCATCAGAGACTGGGTGGCTTGCTTCAGCAGATAAAGATTCCTTAGTAGAAGTGGTAGCGGATCACCATGGACTTCGTAGGTAGGCTCCCATAGACTTCGAGGAAGTTTGATGCTATTTGGGTGATTGTGGATCGGCGACCAAGTCTGCTCATTTCATTCCTATGAGTACTACCTATTCTTGTGACGGTTGGCTGAGATTTAAATCAGAGAGATTGTTCGCCTGCACGGTGCGCCAATTTCCATCATTTCAGATAGATGCACGCAGTTTACATCGAAGTTTTGGAGAGTCGTGCAGCGAGAGTTGGTCACTCAGGTTAAGTTGAGCACAGCATTTCACCCTCAGATGGATGGACAGTCCGAGCGCACTATTAAGATTCTGGAGGACATGCTACGCGCTTGTGTAATTAATTTTGGTGGTTCATGGGACCAGTTTCTGCCACTCACGGAGTTTGCTTACAACAACAGTTATCAATCGAGTATTCAGATGGCTCCGTATGAGGATCTATATGGGAGACGATGCAGATCTACGGTGGGTTGGTTTGAGCCGGGCGAGGCTAGGCTATTGGGTACTGACTTGGTTCAGGATGCTTCGGACAAGGTTAAATTGATTCAGAAGCGGCTTCGCATGGTGCAGTCAAGACAAAAGAGTTATGCCGACAGGAAGGTTTGTGATGTGTCTTACATGGTTGGGGAGAAGGTTCTGCTGAAGGTTTCACCCATGAGGGGCGTGATGAGATTCAGGAAGAAGGGCAAGTTGAGCCCTCGGTTCATTGGGCCTTTTTAGGTGCTTCAGAGGATTAGGGAGGTGGCTTACAAGCTTGCCTTGCCACCTAGCTTATCGAGTGTGCATCCAGTATTTCATGTTTCTATGCTCTGGAAGTATGTGAGCGATCGGTTTCATGTTTTGAATTTTAGCACGGTTCAGTTGGATGGTGATTTGACTTATGATGTGGAGTCGGTTGCTATGTTGGAGCGGCAGGTTAGAAAGTTGAGGTCAAAGGACATAGCTTCAGTGAAAATGCAGTGGAGAGGTCGGCCCATGGAGGAGGCTACTTGGGAGACCGAGCGGGAGATGCGGATCAGATACCTACACCTATTTGATGCTCCAGGTATGTTTCTAGCCCCGTTCGAGGATGAACATTTGTTTAAGAGGGGAAGGATGTAACGACCCGGCCGGTCGTTTCGAGAGTTATAGCCCATTTCCCCTATTTTTCTGCTTCTTTTGTGTTCTACAGTTGTATTATAACTTACCAGGTTAGTTGGTTCGGGTCCGAAGTGGTTTTTGAGTGAATTGAGACACTTAGTCTCTTATTTGAAAGCTTAAGTTGGAAAAGTTGACCGGATGTTGAATTATATGTAAAGGACCTCGGATTTGAATTTTGATGGTTCTGTTAGCTTCTTTAGCCGATTTTAGACTTAGGAGCGCGTCCGGATTGTGTTTTGGAGGTCCGTAGTAGAATTAGGCTTGAAATGCCTGGAATTTTGGAAAGTTTGACCGGTGTGGACTTTTGATATCGGGGTCGGATTGGATGTTCGGAAGTTGGACTAGGTCCATGGTGTCATTTATGACTTGTGTGCAAAATGTAAGGTCAATCGGACTTGATTTGATAGGTTTTGACGTCGTTTGTAAAATTCAGAAATTTCAAAGTTCATTAGGCTTGAATCCGTGTTTAATTCAAGTTTTTGATGTTTTCGTAGGGGATTTGAAGATTCGACTAAGTTCGTATGACGTTATGGGATGTGTTGTTATTTTTGGTTGACGTCCCAAGGGCCTCGGGTGAGTTTCAGGTGGTTAACGGATCATTTTTGGCCTTGGTCAGATTGCTGATCTCTGCTGCTGCATTTTTCTAGTTTCCTTTACGCGTTCGCGAGAGGAGCCTCACGATCGCAGAGAGTGTTTCTGAGCTGGTGAGATTTTTGTGCTACGCATTCGTGAAGGAGAGGACCCGAAGGCGAAGGTTAGGGCAGTGTGTGCATCACGAACGCGTGAGTGGTGTCGCGTTTGCGAAGAGGAAGAGGCAACTGGAGACCCCAGGTCTTTGGTCTACGCGTTCGCGAGGTGTTGGCTGCGTTCGCGATGGCTGAGCTGGTAAAGCTTTGCGTTCGCAAGGCGTAGGTCGCGTTCGCGATGAGTAAGTCTGAGAGGCAGTCTGAATGGTCTACGCGAACGCGAGAGGACGATCGCGTTCGCGAAGAAGAAAATCTGGGCATACAGTATTAATTTCAAAAACGAGGGTTTGAACCGATTTTTCATATTTTGAGCTAGAGACAACAGATTTGGGCGATTCTTGAAGGGAGTTTCGTGGAGTTGGTTGGGGTAAGTGATTCTTACTTGTTTTTGGTTAAATCCCATTATTACATCTTTAATTTTATCATCCAAATTGTGATTTGGGGTGAGAAATTGGGGAAAACGAGGAAGTGTTCTTGAGATGAAATTTTGAGGTTTTGAATGGGATTTTGTTATCAGATTTGAGTAAATTTTGTATGGTTAGACTCGTGAGTGAATGGGCTTTCGGGTTTTGTGACTTTTGTCGGATTTCGATACGTGGGCCCGGGGGTCGTGTTTGAGCCGATTTCGCATTTTTGGCTAATAATTTGGTATTTTTTTGTGGAATTGATCCCTTTAGCCTATATTGATTGTATTATATTACTTGTGGCTAGATTCGGGACGTTTGGAGGCCGTTTTAAGAGGCAAAGGAATTTCAGAGTAGAGATTTGCTCAGTTTGAGGTAAGTAACGCTTTCAAACTTGGCTCTAAGGGTTCTAAACCCCAATTTATGTGTTATGTGAATCGTATTGAGGTGACGCACATGCCAAGTGACGGGCGTGCGGGCATGCATCATGAGGAATTGTGACATGGTTGACTCAATGGCACTGTATGGTGACTCTATTCTGTTGATATCCGTGTTTTCATCATGTGATAAAGTAATTGAGTTGTAAATCATGCTAGATATCATGTTTAGGCTTTATGTCGGTACTATCGAGACCCTAATGGTCATTTCTTGCTTTCATCTCACTAATTTCATTGATATTCTATACCCAGTCATATTCATGCATTTTATATCATATCTCAGTCTCAGTTGTTATTTATTGATACATCATATCATTGTTCCGAGTTAGTTTACATGACATTGTGAGCCCGTGGGTGAGACGGGAGAGATTGATGACTGAGTGAGGCCGAGAGACTGGTTATGAGTGACAGTTATGAGATCGGGCTGCACGCCGCAACGGTTATATTGATTTGTCATAGCGCTTGGGCTGTAAGAGCCCCTTCGGAGTCTGTACACACCCCCAGTGAGCGCAATTGATATTATTAAGGGATGGGTCTTCCTTGGACATGGATCTTTTCCGAAGCATATGATACCTTGAGATGGATCTTCTCCATAGGGCTGGATTGACCTTCCTCGGTACTGAGTGACTGTTGTCAGTGATGTATATATATTTCGGGATAGATCTTCCCTAGGCTGTTTGAGCCATATAAAGTACTGAGTGGTTGAGTATTTGAGAGTGTGATCACTTGAGGCTTACAGCATGTGCATTGGCATGTAGAGGTAGTAGAGTTTTATTCTTCACACTGTTCGTATCTGCTCTACTTTACTATTTTGAACTGCTTATTAAATTGTAAGCATGCCTATGTTTCTGCACAGTTATTTATATTTTTATCTGTACCGGTTGAGTTCGTCACTACCTTTCTGTCCAAAGTTTAGACTCGTTACTTACTGAGTTGGATGTACTCATGTTACTCCATTCACCTCGTGTGCAGATCCAGGCGATACTGGTCGCGGCGGCGGTTGCTGATTGAGGTTTTAGAGTTTGGAGACTATCAAGGTAGCTACACGGTGTTCACAGGCCTTGACTCTCATTGTTTATCATTTGTCGTATTTTCAGTTTATTTCTCTAGTCACTGTAGTGGACTGTATTCTGATTTAGACGCTCATGTACTCAGTGACACCCCAGTTTTGGGCTGGATTGTATTGTATTTTGGGGTTTATTATGTTTCAAAAAGGTTTCTTTAAATGTTAAATGCTTCCATTTTTATTTTTAAACTTGTTGTTGTTTTGATGGGTTGTTAAGTTGAGGCTGGCCTAGTTCCACGATAGGCGCCATCACGACGGTCGATTTTGGGTCGTGAATTATGGTTAAATAATACTTTTAAAGTGATGGAAGGCAAAGCTTGCCATCGAACTAAAGATTATTTAACCATCCATATAGTCGTTTGTCATCGATATGAAAATTTTGGTGCCTTTTTGTCTAAAGGTCTTTCCTTTTGCCGATGACACTACCTTCGTAGTATGCTTTGCGTTGTTTCCTCGTTAAAAACCTTGCCGAAAAACCCCTATTGGGACAAAAACTAGTCGAAGGGAAAAAAGTGCATCACATACTTTCAGTATTAGTAGCATCCGTCAGTAATAATACCTTGTGAGGTGAGTCACATTCCAATTGTTGGGCAACCTAACTCTATATTGATTCTCCTACTCATACGACCCTTTACTGGTAATAGCTAAAACTCGTTAAGGACCTTCCTATGTTGGACCCAGCTTCCCCGCGTTGACTACTAGAGTGCTCTGAGTCACCTTTCTAAAAACCAAGTCTCCTACTTTTAAGTAGCGGAGATTGGACCTCCGATTATAATATCGTTCCATCTTTTGCTTTTGAGCTACCACCCTCACATGCGCCAAGTCCCTGTGTTCGTCTAGCAAATCCAACCTCACCATCATCGCTTCATTATTTGCTTCTTTGTTTGATGGGGAAAACCTTAAAGTTAGTTCCCCTACTTCCACTTGTATCAGAGATTCCGTGCCATATACGAGAGATAAAGGTTTTTCTCCCGTGCTCAACTTCTCCGTTGTCCGGTATGCCCATAGTACACCCGGTAGATCTTCGGGCCATTTACCTTTAGCAGCTTCTAGCTTCGTTTTAAGGTTATGGATAATCACCTTATTTGTTGATTCTGATTGTCCGTTAGCACTTGGATGGTACGATGAAGATGTAATCCTCTTGATTTTCAAATCTTCCAAAAATTTTGTTACTTTTGAGCCCATGAATTGTGTCCCATTGTCAAAAGCAATCTCCTTCGGTATTCCAAATCGGCAAATTATGTGGTCCCATCTGAAGTCAACCTCTTCGCACTCACCGATCTTCTAGTAAGGACCTGTCTCAACCCTTTTAGTGAAGTAGTCAGTTAAAACCAAAAGAAGTCTTACCTTTTCGGGGCCCGGTGGCAGAGGACCGACTATGTCAATTCTCCATTTCATGAACGACCATAGGGACAATACCGAATGCAAGAGTCTGCTGGTTGATGTACCAATTGTGCATGGCGTTGACATTTATCGCACTTTTGAATGAATTTTTTTGCATCATGCTCCGGTCGTGGACAATAATAACCTGCCCTAACTAGCTTTAGAACTAACGAATCAGCACCGGAATGGTTCCCGCAAATTTCTTCATGGACTTCTCTCATCACGTAGTCCACCTCCAAGGATCCTAGACATCGGGCCAATGGTCCTTGGTATGACCTTATATATAATTGCCCATCTACGAGGCGGTAATGAGCTACTTTGGTTCGTAATGCCCGGGACGCCTTCAGGTCTTTGGGTAACTTGCCCTGTCGAAGGTAATCGACGAACTCAATTCCTCTAGTCCCAGAATAATTGGTTGAGTTGACCTTGCAGTAACCGTCCACATCCAATACCAAGTGCAGAAGTTGAACGACTGTATCGGATTCAGATCCCTTCATCTTCGTGGATGACCCCAAATTGGCCAATGCCTCTAATTCCACATTCTCTTCCCTTGGGATATGTATGATTGACCATTCCTTGAATCGTGCAAGCAATGTTTGAACCTTGTTCAGGTATTTTTGCATGCGCTCTTCCTTCGCGTCGAAAATTCCATACATTTGGTTTACTACCAGTTGGGAGTCACATTTTACTTCGATGACCTCAGATCCTGGTCCCCGAGCCAATTTAAGACCTGCAACCAAAGCCTCATACTCGGCTTCATTATTAGTAATAGAATAGTATTAATGGCCTACCTCGGGTTTCTCCCTAGGGCGTGATTAGAACTATCCCGAGGCCAGACCCTTTTCCATTGGATGCTCCATCTTTAAATAAGATTCAGACATCTTATGTCATTTCCGATACCGACACTACTTCCTCAATAGCCAAGGGCATTAAACCGGGACTGAAATCGGCCACAAAGTCGGCCAAAACTTATGACTTGATCGCAGTCCTAGGTTTATACTCAATGTCGAACTAACTAATTTTGACTGCCCATTTATCAAAATGTCCCAACAACTCAGGCTTGTGAAGAACATTCCTTTAGGGAAAGGTTATCACAACGGCAATTGGGTGGCACTAAAAATAAGGCCTAAGCTTTCGAGAGGATACTATGAGAGCTAAGGCCAGCATTTTGAGGTGTGGATAGAGAGTCTCCGCTCTCAATAATATTTTACTAACATAATAAATTGGAAATTGCATACCTTATTCCTCTCTAACTAAAACGGCACTTACCGCTACTTCCGAGACTGCTAGATATATTAGCAACTGCTTGCCTTCCCCTGGTTTTGACAGTAATGGGGGGCTTGATAGGTACCTTTTTAGGTCTTTCAAGGCCTATTGGCATTCCGGAGTCCATTCAAAATTGTTTCTTCTTTTTCAAAAGTGAAAAGAAGTGATGGCCTTTTCGGAGGATCTCGAGATGAATCTACTTAGAGTCGCCAATCTTCCGATCACCCTTTGTACCTCCTTTACATTTGTCAATTAGTCCAGAGTGTCCTCGATAGCTATAATTTTATCGGGATTTACCTCGATCCCTCTTTGCGAGACCAAGAACCCCAAGAATTTTTTGGAACCAACCCCGAACATATATTTTTCCGAGTTTAGTTTCATGTTATGCTTCCTTGGGATGTCGAAAGCCGCTTGGAGGTGCTTCAAGTGATCTCCTGCATTCAAAGACTTGACTAACATGTCATCAATGTATACCTATATTGTTTTTCCTATCTGATTTTCAAACATTTTGTTAATAAGCCTCTAGTAAGTGGCTCCGGCATTCTTAAGCCCAAATGGCATCACATTATAACAATATGTGCCAAAGTTTATTGTGAAAGAAGTTTTTTCCTGATCCTTCAGGTTCATCTTGATTTTATTGTACTCGGAATAACCATCAAGGAAACATATTAACTCGTGTTCGGCCGTAGCATTAATCATTTGATTAATGTTTGGCAATGAGTCTTTAGGGCACGCCTTACTTAAATACTTATAGTCTACGCACATTCTAAATTTGTTATTCTTTTTTGGTACTACAACTATGTTGGCTAACCATTATGGACATTTTACTTCCTGGATTGAACCAATGTTGGGTAATCGGGTTACCACTTCTTTAACAAACCTATTCCTGACCTCCACTATCATGTGCTTCTTTTGCCTTACCAGTGGGAGTTTCGATCCAGGATCAGCTTGTGCACGGCCACCTTTAATGGGAAACCTGTCATATCCGAGTGCGACCAGGCAGATCATTCAACGTTAGCTTAAAGAAAATTTATAAATCCTAACTTGAGCTTGGGGTTTAATCATGTCCCCAGATGAAACTTCCTCTCCAAGAACTCTTCGAATGAGGCCATTTTCTCGAGTTCCTCTACGGTTGACTTGGTCGCATCCGTCTCCATTGGTACCTGAAAATATCTCGGAACTTGATAGGTTTGCGATGAATCCTTGTTTTTATCGTCTTTATTCTGAAAGGGAGAAGGCATCGACTCCTGTAATTGCTATTTATCGAATTCTTTTTCCTTGCTGCTGGACATAGTTATCGCATTCATTTCCCTTGCTGTTGGTTGATCTCCTCTTATCTGCTTGGAAATTTCAACAGTTGATGATATGTTGAGGGCATAACCTTCATCTTGTGTATCCACGACCTTCTGAGGATTAAATTATAACCCATATCGCCATCTACCACTTCGAATAGAGTGGTTTTGATCAACCCTTTGGCGTTTGTAGGCAACAAAATCTCTCCTCGGGTTGTTACACTTGCCAAGTTGAATCCAGCTAAGAGTTTTGTCATCTAAATGATGCTTCTGGTTAGCTTTTCTTACTCCAAAACTCTCCATTGGATGATGTTGGTTGAGCTTCCTGGGTCAACCAAAACACGTTTACTTTTAAAATCTAAAACATTGAGAGTGATTACCAAAGTGTCGTTGTGTGGCAGAAGAAGTCCATCAACACCTTCCTCCATGAATGTGATATAATCTTCTGCGACTTACCGGAGTCTCTTGTTGTGAGTCACTAATATCTTTGTTTTCTTGGTCGCCGAGAAGGTTACACCATTGACTTCATTTCCCCCGAAGATCATGTTGATAGTCAATTGAGGGGAGTCTTTTACTGCCTTCGAAGGCTCTGCATTGTCCCAGATTCGCCCGTAGTTGTTCTTGGCTCAGTCGCTTAAGAATTCCCTGAGATGGACATTCTTCAACAATGTCGCCACCTGTTTGCATAGATGCCGGCAGTCCCCAGTTCTATGGCCGTGAGTCATATGATATTCACACCACAACTTGGGATCCCTCTGGCTGGCATCGGATCTAATTCTTCGGGAATCATGTTTCTTTAATATTCCTCATCGCCGATACCAACTCCACTATACTGATGTTGAAGGTGTAACCCGATAACCTAGGATATGTATAGTCTCGGGCCCCTGGTGATGCTGAAGGTATAATCCGATAACCTAAGATATGTAGAGTCTTGGGCCCCTGGTACCTCTTTGTCTTGTAATGACTTGTTGTTCCGACCACGGTCGGTTCTTCTATCGGGATCAAACCTATTCGAGGACCAAAACTTTTTGCTGTTGTGTCCCTCGATTCTTTCATATGGTAGAAAACGACCTTTGGAAGACCGTCGATCCGCATCGAAGTCGTTCTTAAACTTGTCCTGGTTCTTGTCTCGGTCATGTGCCTTGGTTGATATCGGGAACCCGAGTTGGTCGTCTTCTATCCTTATTTTTAACTTGTAAGGGTTATAAGCAATGGCCCATGTGGTTGCTTGAAACTCGAGCTGGCTTTCCTTTAGCTTTAGGGAGGCATTGGAGCTCCGCGGATTCAACCTTTTTGTGAACACCTCCGCTACCCACTCATCTAGTACAACCGGTAGCAGCATCCTCTCTTTTTGGAACCATATCACGAATTCTCGCAGCAATTCGGACTCACCTTGCGCAATCCTGAATATGTCCGCTTTCCTGGCTTGGAACTTCCTTGCCCCAATATGGGCCTTAATGAATGAACCCGCAAGCATCTCAAAAGAGTCAATTGAATGCTTGGGTAAGAGTGAATACTATGTTAGAGCCCCCTTTGTGAGGGCTTCACCAAACTTCTTCAATAAGACCAATTCGATCTCATGTTGAGCCAAATCATTACCTTTTACATTCGTGGTGTAGGTTGTGATGTGCTCCTGCGGATATGAAGTCCCATCGTATTTTGGTATGTCTGCTATCTTGAATATCTTCAGAATTAACTCTAGTGATGCGCTCGGTTTAAAAGGCAATTGTGAATATTTTTTCAAATATGGGCCTTTTAGTATTGGTGGTGCTCCCGGAATATGATCCATCCAAGCGTGAACTCCTTTGCATTTAGTCCATTCGTTCGTTCATTTCCCTCATAAACCTCTTGAGCTCGATTTTGAATATATCATTCCCGTTGTTGTTTTTAGATTTGCTACCGATCCCTCCGACATCGTCGAAACCGACTTCACCCTTTGGGATGTTATTATCGACTCTCTGAGCCGTTTGATTTGCAGGAACACTGGGAGAAACCGGGCCCATTCCCTTAGCATTACTGGAAGCGACTGAAAATGCTTGTTTTAACTCCGTCATTACCCGATCCTGCCTTGAGATGTGACTCATGATTGCTTTTTGCTGTTCTCTTAATATTTTCACTGTTTTCACGACATGTTCCTCCTCATCATCATCGAGAGTTGGCTCCCGCGCATGCCGGAGGTACTCCCCTTCACGAACCAGGGTTCTTTCATCCCCTTCGTTACGGATGTTGCCGATTGATTCATTATGTGGAGGAAAATCTCCGCGTCCCTCAACGTTGTGTGTGATGTTGACATCATTGGCTGTCATATCTGATTTCTTACTAAGGAAAAATCAAACATTACGCAGTTGTCTATTCTCCACGGTGGGGGCCAAACTTTTTTACCCGTAAAACAATACAGTTGAATTTGTTACGTGGTTAATAGACAATCGAATTAATTTGATCCAAAAAAAAAATAAGATTAAAAATAAGTTTTAGTAATTAGAATTAAAGGAGATGACAAGCCTAGCTCCGAGCGCAATACCTCCGAGGACAAAAGTTAAAGCAATGATAAAAAATAAGCAAAGTTGTTTAACTACGAGCAAAAGTAAAATACAGCATATGTTTTCCAAGAACTTCGTGTCTTACAATAGCTGCTGAGCCTACTATTTATAGCTTTACCTAGGGAAACAAGATCCTAGGATCAAGCTCCTCTTAAATGATAATAAAAGAGTCATTTATGGTCATGTTTGGGTAAGCCATGAATGCATCATTTAATGTTAGAGAATATTCCCCGATTGAATGCTATTCGATGGCAAATAATTGATCTTCTCCCGTTGACCATGCTCCCCTCGGAATTTACCCGATGTCGATTGAATGCTATCCGATGGTAAATTTTAGTTCAATTAGCTAAATCCATTTCGAGATGGATCAAATTATCATTACCAACAAATTAAACGGCAAACCCATCGATTGAAGTGTAACTAAAATCCTAATAAATTACAAATACATGTTAAAAAACGTGGAAAGCCTTTAGAAATATGTATAATGTTTGCAGAAAAATAAATGCAGTTGGCTTGATGCAAATAGTTTGATGTAGGATACCCTCTATATGAGTAACAAATGTAATTCGAGACTTTCAAAGTTTCTACGCTAGCCACAATTTGTAGCTTGTTTGGCCGAGTTTTTGGGAAATGAAAAGCATATATTTATCGAAAAAACACTAGTGGTATTAGAGATGTTTGGCCAAAAACAAAAAATATTTTTGAATATCAATCAAAGTAGAAGGAAAAGTAAAAAATTAGTTTTTTAAAACAACATTATCCTAATACAAAGAATATATCTATTATCTCTCATTAATAAACCATACTTTGATTTATGTAACTCTCATATATTAATTAGAAGCAAAGAAAAGAAGAAAAAAGAAAAGAAAAAGACTTTTACATAAGTATCATTTGTTTTAACTTTTGTGCCCTGCACAATCAATAATGTTGGGTGCATGCAACTATTTCTATTTGGATGTTGATTGAGAGTGAACATCTAGGTACTTCTCTACAAAAATTTGACCGACTTAGGTCTAGGTCCTTATGCCAGCTGTGTCCACTACAAGAAAAATACATAGATGGTGAAAAAAAGTGTCGTGATTCAAGTAGTAAGCTCGGATACATGGTTGAGAAGAAGTCTTCCTAACTTTAATTGAATCTATAATAGGGATTCGGGTGACTAGTGAAGAGTCTCAAATTTAATTTGTGATTTGTATGATAATTATCTATTTCCACTCAATTTTATTAGAAAGTTATAATTTGTTCTCTCGTCCCTTTGCACACATTTTAACTCTATGAAGTTC